TGCATCCTTAAACAATCTGTTGCTTAGTTTTATCTGGTTTTGCCTTTCATACAAACAGAATCATGCTGCGTGCAGTGATCTGCAGCTTGATCTTCTCATGCAGATGTGAATCACGTGAGCATCACCCATGTTGATGTGTGTTGCCTAAGTTTGTTCATTTTCACTGCCATGTAGTATCCCATTGCGTGATTATTTTCCCAATCTCCTGTGATGGATTTTTGGGTTGTTTTGTGGTTTCACTGTCATCAACAGGGCTGCTCTGCCTTGCACATCTCCAAGGAGTATGTGTGAAAAGGAGCAGGACACAATTTAAATGTTACTGTGTTGTACTGGAGTCTATTTTTTTTTTTTTTTTAGACAGAGTCTCACTTTGTTGTCCAGGCTAGAGTGAGTGCCGTGGCATCAGCCTAGCTCACGGCAACCTCAAACTCCTGGGCTCAAGCAATCCTCCTGCCTCAACCTCCCAAGTAGCTGGGACTACAGGCATGCGCCACCATGCCCGGCTAATTTTTTTTCTCTATATATTAGTTGGCCAATTAATTTCTTTCTATTTATAATAGAGACGGGGGTCTCGCTCTTGCTCAGGTTGGTTTCGAACTCCTGACCTCGAGCAATCCTCCCGCCTTGGCCTCCCAGAGTGCTAGGATTACAGGCGTGAGCCACCGCGCCCGGCCTGGAGTCTATTTTGATTAAACAGAAGATTTTTAACTTGGAGGTCCCTTACATACCACTTAACCAGGCACACTCACCCTAGAGATAAGAAAAGGAAATCTCAGAGAGGTTAAGTGACTTGCCCAGAGTCCCTCAGCCCTAGCCTACTGGGCTAAGGTCACAGCCTTGGAACTGATTTTGGGGGTGGGGCATTAGAACATATGTCCTACTCTCTGCCTACACCCTCCCACTTCGCCTAACTCTCCCCATCATGACCCTCCAGGCAAGTTGGTTCCTTCTAGTTTCTTTCTGCCATGGGGGGGCCTTTGCATGTGTCTTGCTTGCTGCCTGAAATTCTACACCCCACAGATCTTCATGTCATTCAAGTTATCAGCCCAAACGTCACCTCCTCAGAGAGGTCTTCCCTGACCATCCCATCTCCTTTTGTTTCCTTCTTAGCGCCATTCACATCTGTAATTGTGGACAATTTGTTGGGGCGAGTGACTTAATCTCTCTGGACATGTTGCACAGAACAGCTTACTGTCCTCACGACACTTTTTTTTCTTTTAATGGCCACAATTTTTTGTGACACTTCCCATCAAAAGATGGTCCTAGGTCCCCTCTCCCATGAACCTGGGTGGGCTTTTGTGACTGCTTTGATCAACGGATTACAACAAAAGTGACGCTATGTGACTTCCAAGGCTTCTGTCTGGTTTCTGGAGGAGGCAGCTGCCATGTGAGCCATCTGACTGCCATGGGACAGCCATGCTGGAGAGGCCGTGTGTAGGCACTCCAGATGGCACTGCCAGCTGAGTGCAACCTTGCAGTCATTCATGTCTGAGTGAAGCTATCTTGGATCCTCCAGATGAGCCCATCAGTCAACTGTGTCCCACTGGGCGACCTCAGTTGAAGCCACAGGGAGCAGAATTACTCAACCAAGCCCCACCTGAATTCTTGACCCATAGAATCTGCGAGATACAGTAAAATAGTTGTTGTGTTAAGCCACTAAGTTTTGTGGCAATTTGTCATGGAGCAATATATACCCAGAACAGTCATGCTTATTTGTTTACTTGCCATGTTTTCTGTCTCTAGAATGAATGTGACATTTTTCCCTATAATGTATGACCTCAATTTGGTTGTCAGAAAACCTCAGAAGAATCCAAATTGATAGACATTCTACCAAATACCTGACAGGGACTCTTCCAGAGTGTCAAGGTCATGAAAAAGAAGGAAAAACTGAGGAACTGTCACAGATTGAAAGAGACTAAGGAGATATGACAACTAAATGGATTGGATCCCAGAACTGAAAGGGGCCATGATAGGAAAATAAATGAAATCTGAATCACTTCTGTACTTCAGTTCATAGGAATGTACCAAGGTTAATTTCTTACTTTTGTTTGTTTTGAGACAGCATCTTGCTCTGTCGCCCTGGCTAGAGTGCACCCACACAATCTAGCTCATAGCAACCTCAAACTCCTGGGCTCAAGGGATCCTCCTGCCTCAGCCTCCTGAGTAGCTGGGACTACAGGCACGTGCCACTATGCCCAGCTACTTTTTCAATTTTTAGTAGAGATGGCCCTTGCTCTTGCTCAGGCTGGTCTCCACCTCCTGGCCTCAAGCCATCCTCCCGTCTCAGCCTCCCAGAGTGCTATGATTACAGGCGCATGCCACGACGCCTGGCTACTGGCTACTTTTTCTATTTTTAGTAGAAACGGATCTTGCTCTTGCTCAGGCTGGTCTCCACCTCCTGGCCTCGAGCCATCCTCCCACCTCAGCCTCCCAGAGTGCTAGGATTATAGGTGTGAGCCACCGGACCTGGCCAGGGCTGAGTTATTTTTGTACACAATCACTACACAGGAAATGTACTGAATGTGTGGAAGTACACAGAGGGGGTGAGGAGCTTAATTTCTTAGTTTTGATAAGTGTTCTATCATTATGTGAGATGCTGACAAAAGAGGAAGCGAAATAAAGAGCATACAGAAACTCCCTGTGCCAATTTTACAACTTCTGTGAATCTAAAATTATCTCACAAGGAAAAAAGTCATTAACATAAAAGAGAAAAGATAGAAAGCTAAGCTGGAGTAAGCGTACTACAGCCTGTCTTATCTGCATATTACAATGAAAAACTCCGGACAAATACAAATGCAATTACTTAAGGAAGAACTCTGAAAAGTAAACAGTAGAGGCCAGACTCGGTGGCTTACGCCTGTAATCCTAGCACTCTGGGAGGCCGAGGCGGGCGGATTGCTCAAGGTCCGGAGTTTGAAACCAGCCTGAGCAAGAGCGAGACCCCGTCTCTACTATAAATAGAAAGAAATTAATTGGCCAACTAATATATATATAAAATTAGCCGGGCATGGTGGCGCATGCCTGTAGTCCCAGCTACTCGGGAGGCTGAGGCAGCAGGATCACTTGAGCCCAGGAGATTGAGGTTGCTGTGAGCTAGGCTGACGCCACGGCACTCACTCTAGCCTGGACAACAAGCGAGACTCTGTCTCAAAAAAAAAAAAAAAAGCAGTAGAAAGTACACTGGCATCGGAAGTCAACTTCTGAAGACTCGGGGCAATCTGAATTGGGAAATCAGAAACTATCTGTACTCGACACTGGCCAGAAAAATCTCCAAAAGAGACCTGGCATGGTGCATGCACCAATGTAGACCATATTATGGACCTTTTACACTTAACAAATGTTTTAAAATATAAATGATATGTTCTCTGTTCATAATGGAATGAAACTAGAAATCAAGAACTGAAAAATCTGGAAACCCCTTAATGTTTATTTATTAGCTCCTCATAACCTTCATAACCCCTTAATATTTAGAAGGTAAGCAATATACTTCCAAATAACCCATGGGCCAGAGAAGGAGTCTCAAGAAAAATTAGAAAATATTTTAAATTGACTTAAGGAAATAAAACTAGAAGATATCAAAATTTGTAAGAGCAAATGACACCCAAAGCAAGTAGAAAGAAAGAAAGAATAAGAAACAGCAGAGGCCAGGAGTGGTGGCTCATGCCTGTAGTCCCAGATGAAAGGATGGTTTGAGCGCAGGAGTTCAAGATTGCAGTGAGCCATGATGACGCCACTGCACTCTAGAGCCTGGGCAACAGAACGAGACCTATCTCAAAAAAAAAAAAAAAGAACATGTTATATATTGACACCCCAAACCCCAACTATGGCCCTTCGAATTTTAGCTCAAATGTTATCTCCTCAGAGGGATTCTTCCTATGACCTCTATGGAAAGTACCCTCCTGTTCAGTTTACATTTATTTCCTTCCCAGCACTTTTCCTTGTCTAAAGAGGAAAAATAAATTATTTATTTATTTATTTAGGGACAGGGTCTTGCTCTGTTGACTGGGTTCTAGAGTGCCGTGGCGTCACCATAGCTCACTGCAACCTCAAACTCCTGGGCTCAAGTGATCCTCCTGCCTCCACCTCCCATAGCGCTAGGGGTACAGGTGTGAGCCACCATGCTGGGCCCCATAACACGTTCTGACACAACTGAGAGCCAGGTGAGGAGTCAGGTATACTGAAATCAAAATGACACTTTACAAATTGCCACAATTCCTGATAAAACTTCTTCATAAAACAGAGTTTAGCGCTGGTCCAACGATAGTGGGTTATCAGAACTTTAGTTGGTATACAACTCCCCATTGCTAAACTTGACTGTCTTTAAAAAACAAAACAGCTGGGCATGGTGGCCACACCTGTAGTCCCAGCTACCCGGGAGGCTGAGGTAGGAGGATCACTATCTCAAAAGAATTAATTGATTAACGAATTAATTTTAAGAAACGTTAGCTTAGGTCTGTGGGGGAGAGGACGGATGTGCTGCCCCAGTACAGCTTTCTCACATGGAAGCCGGTGCGTGGGAATCGATGAGTCTTGCTCTCAAGAGGAGCGTTTCAGCAGAGGGAAGAGCGGTTACAAAGGCCAAGGCCAGCCATGGGAGGAGCGGGGAGTGTTCTAGCACGGCTGGGGGTGCTGGGAGAGGAGAAGACGCTGAGTGCGCCTCACTTCTTCTGGAAGGTTCGGCAGGAGGGACCAAAAGAGACCTGGCATGGTGCATGCACCAATGTAGACCATATTATGGACCTTTTACACTTAAACTAGATATCTTCTAGTTTTATTTCCTTAAGTCAATTTAAAATATTTTCTAATTTTTCTTGAGACTCCTTCTCTGGCCCATGGGTTATTTGGAAGTATATTGCTTACCTTCTAAATATTAAGGGGTTATGAAGGTTACGAGGAGCTAATAAATAAACATTAAGGGGTTTCCAGATTTTTCAGTTCTTGATTTCTAGTTTCATTCCATTATGTCTTGGATGTCAGACTGCGTGAGTGAGAGCTGCCCCCAAGGGCCGGCGGGAGGCTCTCACCTCCATCCCTGCTGTTTGCACGGTGGCAGCTGTCCGGGCTGCACTCACACACAGGGCCCACAGCGGTGAGTGGCCTGTAGGGCCCATCTGGACCCCCTTCCACCTTTGTGCCCACGAGGCTCCAGGGGAAGACACCTGTTGCTGGGCTCCGAGGACCCCTGCCTGAGTGACGAGAGTCCGTCTGTCCCCAGGTGCAGGACCTCAAGATGCCCCCGCAGTCTGCAGGCTGTTTCTACTCTGGGCTGCCCGGGGGGCTGCCTCCCCCACCCCCACAGATGTTCCTTTCCACAGCATCCTTCCCCATCTGGGGCCCGGAGTTCCCACAGAGGCGGGGGTGGAAGAAGGCAGGGAAAAACAGAATCGCGTTCCCCAAATGCGTTCCCGTGGAAGGCGCTGTGAAACTGAGGAGACTTGGGGAAACTGAGGCCCAGAAATGGTGCCGCTCAGCCACTCAGCGTGGCAGCAGTAGAGCCGTACATAGACACAGGCCACTCACTCCAGTGCAGCCACCTGCCCACGCGCTCTCCCCCAGGTTGCCTGGAGGAGGGTCTTCCCCTGTCCTCTGTCATAGGGCTACTTTCCAGGACACCCTGGTGGGAGACCAAGACGCAAGGCGGGCCTTTCCGCGCCTCTCAAATCTGGGATTACCTTGGTTAGAGGAAGGGGAGGAGCAGCTCGCAGGAGCGACCACCAGAGGGCGCCGGAGTCGCACGGGCAGTCCTGGGCTCTGGGGGCAGGGGTCGCTCGAACTCGGGAAGACCCCCTCGCTGCCTCCTTGAAGTTTTGTGTCTGTCGCTGCCAGGTGTCTAGAATGGAGGTGATGTGCATCCAGCCTAATCTAGGGTCCCTCTAGCACCTTCTTCTGAGTCCCTGCCCCTCTAGACTCATCTCCCGCCTCCAGCCCCTCCCTTCAGAAACGGTCCCTATGGGCTACAGGAACCCTGACGGAGGAGTGGGGGCTGGGCACACCTCATGGGTCCAGAGCCCGGGGACCTGGGAAGCCCCAGTCCTCAGCCCACAGTGGGGCCCCCAGCCCTCCCCATCGGTGCACCGTCAGCGTACTAACAATCCCAGGCCACACTGACTCACACTGCTCTGCTTCGTTTAGCAACATCGCTCCTCTTCTTACCTTTGGTTGCCTCCCATTTCCCTTAGAGTGGAATCTGAGTTCCTCACCATGGCCTGGGAGGCCTGCCTGGTGGTCCAGCCCACCCCTTCCCCTCCTCCCATTTCTTTGCCTATGTCTCTCTCTCTCTCTCTCTCTTTTTTATTTTTATTTTTTTGGGGGGGGGGACAGAGTCTTGTTTTGTTGCCCAGGCTAGAGTGAGTGCTGTGGCGTCAGCCTCGCTCACAGCAACCTCAAACTCCTGGGCTCAAGCAATCCTCCTGCCTCATCCTCCCGAGTAGCTGGGACTACAGGCATGCGCCACCATGCCCGGCTAATTTTTTTCTATATATATTAGTTGGCCAATTAATTTCTTTCTATTTATAGTAGAGACCGGTCTACCTCTTGCTCAGGCTGGTTTCGAACTCCTGACACCGAGCAATCCGCCCGCCTCGGCCTCCCAGAGTGCTAGGATTATGGGTGTGAGCCACTGCGCCCGGCCATTTCTCTCTTCTGTTTTTTGAACACACTCTGTGTTTTCCTGCCCCTGGGCCTTTGCACAGGCCTTTCTCTCCACCTGAAACTGGACTATAAGCCCTGTACGGGCAGGAACTGTGTCTGGTTTTGTTCAGCTCCATGTCCCCCAGCATTTAGCATGGTATGCACAACACATACTCAATGTCAATGGTAGTACGTCTTAATAAATAATTCTTGAATAAATGTGCTTTTCTATTAACCGATTCAGTCTTTGCCACAGTCAGGTAAGGTAGGAAATGTGAGGTAGGAACTATCATTAGCTCCCTTTCATAGAAAAGAAAACAAGAGCTCAGAGAGGTTAGTCCACTTGTTGAAAGTCACACAGCTAAGATTTAAGCCCCAGAGGGAGGCTTCTTCACCTCTGACTGGGTGCAGGTGGGGCGTGGGGGGATTGGTAGTAGCCACAGGCCAGCTCCCAAATGCTCGATGCTTGAAGCAGATGCTCTTGGGTAGGAGGCATCGGCCCGGGCTGAATGGATGGTTAGCAAGACTTGTGTCTGCAGAGGCCGGAAGAGCATTCCAGGAGAAGGAACAGCAATGGGCAGTGGAGGTCCCACTCTTGGGACTGACGCTGTCAGCTTAGGGTCTCCAGTGGCAGGACCCGGGTGGGAGGGGAAATCGATGCAGCAGTCGCTGTGCAGCCCTGCCCCCACGCCGTGGGCCGGGCGCCCCCGGGGACGCGGGCCGGCGATCCCACGCCTGGGCCAGGCAGGACGTTCGGTTCCCACGCGGGGGCGGCCCGGGAGAGGGTGTGGGGCGGGCCCGGGGGCGGGGGCGGGCGCCCGCGCTCTGGTCCCTCCGCCGCGCTTGCGTTACTCCCTCGGCGGACCGGGTCGCGCTCGCGGGAGAGGTGAGTGAGCGAGCGGGGCAGCGCCCCGCGGCCGAGCCGCGCGCGGATCCAGCTCGGTCTCCTAGCTTTGCCGCCGGGTCAGGGCCCCGTGGTCCCTGCCACAGAGGGTTGGGGGCTTCCGACGGGACGGAGTCGAGGACTCCCCGGGAGTTATCCTCTGCCTCCCAAAATAAATTACCCCCTTGCTCTCCTTACTTGGGGGCCTCTCCCACTCACCTATCCCTGATGGGGAGCCCCTGTCTCCCGGATGTGCGGGGCGCCCCCTCGCACTTAGCACCTGTGGTCTGCCCCTCCCTCGCTCTCGTTATTGGCCGCCCCTCTATCTCCCTAGATGCGAGCGCCCCTTTCTCTTTTCAGAAGTGGGGTGCCCCCTTCTCTCCCCATATGTGTCGCCCTCTCCCTCCCTATGACCCAGTTAAGTCCTGTCCTCTAAAGCCCCTCCACACCTCCCATGGGTGCCAGCCGTGAGCCTTCCCTGGGGGCTGGGGCAAGGGCTGAGCCTGTCCCTCTCCCCCACCCGCCCGGGCCGCAGGCTGTGTGTGCACGTAGGCAGCCAATTAGGGGGGAAGGGGTGGGGGCCCGCGCGTATGTCTGCGCAGAGACCTCTGCAGATGGCCCTGTCACCGAAGGGAGCCTCAGGACCTGCCGCCGCCCTACCTGGACCTCCACCCAGTTTCCTCTGGGGCACAAACCACTGGGGGGCTCCCCGACCCGGCCAGGCTGAGCGGGCGCTGGCACCAGAACCCAGACCCCAGCCTCACGCTGTTCAGACTCTGCCCCAAGAGCTAGGTCTCCTCCCACTTCTAAGATGGTGACCTGAGGTCCCAAGAGGGTCTCCACATGTCTAAGACCCCTTATCTACCCCCACGGGGATAGCAGAGTTAGAGGGGTCAGGGGCATGAGGGTGACCTTGAAACCCTAGCCCCCCACTGCCACCACACCAGTGAAAGAGCATTTCTCAAGTCTGGGCCCTGAGGTTTGGGGGCAGAGGGCCATGTGGGGACAGAAGTCATCCATACCTCCCCACCCTCCACCCCAGATGCTGTCCAGAGCTGCCTGGAGCTTGGTGCTGAGAAGAGGAGGACCTGGAACTCGAGGGAAACACAGCCTAGAAGGCTCTGGTAAGGCCTGGCCCCCTCCCGCCAAAGGAACTGCAGAGCCAGGGGCAGGGGACCTGCCTGTAGTGCCACCTTCCCTGGGCCTGCTCCCACACCACTGCCCCGACCCCACCCCTTGATCCTGAGCCAAGTTCCTCCAGGAAGTGGAGTCCACAGGGTGAGTAGACAGCTGTCCCCTCCATTCTAACCTTCCTTAGGACCCGACCCCCGAACCTCAGGCCCCTAGTGTGCTGACAGAACCTTTAGACCCTGGAATCCTCCTTTCCAGACCTTGGTATCAGTGCAGTCAGAAGAAGGAGACCTAAAGCAGGAGAGACTTCAGCCGGATAGCAGAAGGGCCTTCCTGACATTTAACGATAACATTTATTGAGCCCTTACTAGGAACCCCAAGCTGTGATAAACATCTTACAGGGATTAACACATTCGGAAGGCACAATAACCGTGTGAGGTGGATGCTTGGCTGTTGTCTCCATTTCCCAGATGAACAGATTAAGGCCCAGAGATCTAGGTATTAGAAGAGCCGGAATTCCCTGCCCAAGGCCATTCCAGCACTGTGGTGTCAATAAACAGAACATTTACCGAGGCCCCCTTAGTGCCCTGACTTACCACGGCACCCCAGATACCCACAGGAGGCGTTGCAGGCTTAGCCATCAGGGAAAGCGTCCAGAATGGAGGCCGGTAGCAAACCGACCTCTGATAGTCAGTGTGACTTCCTGCGGTCCTCTGTGAGCCAAGCACGGCAGGAAGGCTGCTGAGAGTATTCCCTGGAAGCTTCCCACGGGAGTGCGAGGGAGGTTCTCTCGTTCCCACCGTCCAGGCGAGGATATTGCAGTACAGCAAGGTAAGGGGCTTGTTGGAGCTGAGTTGAGGTGGCACTGGGATTCGCACCTAGCTGACTCCAAAGCCATGAAATATGCCCCTGATCACATAAATTAAGGCAGGTGCAGGGCCAGGCGCGGTGGCTCACGCCTGTAATCCTAGCACTCCGGGAGGCCAAGGCGGGAGGATCTCTTGAGCTCAGGAGTTGGAGACCCCTGTCTCTACTAAAAATAGAAAAAGTTAGCTGGGCATGGTGGTGCATGCCTGTAGTCCCAGCTACTCGGGAGACTGAGGCAGGAGGATCTAGCCCGGGCAACAGAGCTAGAGTGCCATTTGAGACTCTGTCTCAAAAAAAAAAAAAAGGTGTGTGCAGAGTGCATTACCATGCCTGACTTGATAGAGAACATGGGGTTTGAAGCCAGAGTGGCTGAATTGCAGCCGTGGCTCTGCTCCTCCTCACTCTGTGAATTCTACCACGTCCTTAGTGCCTCAGTTTCTTCATCTGTAAAATGGAGACAATGATGTCACCTGGCTCAGATGATGGGGAGTACAAGAGTTAACCCACCTGAAGGCTTTAGAATGCCTCCTGGCACAAGTTACTGCTCAATGAACGCAGCCTTGCATTTTTTTTTTTTGAGACAGAGTCTCACTTTGTTGCCCAGGCTAGAGTGAGTGCCGTGGCGTCAGCCTCACTCACAGCAACCTCAATCTCCTGGGCTCAAGCAATCCTCCTGCCTCAGCCTCCAGAGCAGCTGGGACTACAGGCATGCGCCACCATGCCCGGCTAATTTTTTCTATATATATTAGTTGGCCAATTAATTTCTTCCTATTTATAGTAGAGATGGGGTCTCGATCTTGCTCAGGCTGGTTTGGAACTCCTGACCTTGAGCAATTTGCCTGCCTTGGCCTCCCAGAGAGCTAGGATTATAGGCGTGAGCCACCGCGCCCGGCCAGCCCTGCATATTGATGTTATGGTTAGAGACTGAGTATGGTGTCCCGGGGCAGCCTGAACTGAGGTCCCCCCTCTCTTGTGCCCACAGCCCCCAGCGAGCGGAGGATGCCGCCCTACGCCAACTACTTTGCCCAGCGCTCCTACCCCATGCCAGACGAGCCCTTCTGCACCGAGCTCACTGCTGAGCAGCGGGCCCTGAAGGAGAAGGAGAAGGGCAGCTGGACCCAGCTGAGCCACGCCGAGAAGGTGGCCCGTAGGTCGCAGGGTGGGGATGGCTGGGGAGAGTGCGCCGGGGTGACTTTGGAAAGGAGGGCCTGTCAGGGAGCAGAGGGCAGAGAGAGGCCCCCAAGACTGCCAGACGCCAAATGCACATGGAGGCATGAAGTTCATTCCTTTGTTCATTCTTTTATTCACTCAGCTATTTGTGCCCAGCCTGATGCTAGGCGATGCTGGGGACACAAGGTGGATCACCAGGGTGGTTCCTGCCCTCATGGTGCTTCTAGTCCAGTGGCAGAAATCAACAGAGACCCCAATAATTGGAATAGAGGATACGTGGCTAGGATGAGGCGTGTTTAGGGTCTGTGAGATGGAATCCTGGCGGGCCTCCAAGAGGAGGTCACGTTCCAGCTGGCCTTGAAGGGTGAAGAGGAGCGTGCTGCCAGGGAGTGGGAGCAGCATTGGGCAGGGTGTCAGAGCAGGAGAGTGCAGAGGGTGCTGGCATCACTGAGTGGTATGGGGGATGGGACAGCGAGAGGCAGGTGAGTAGGTGGGCAGGGAGGAGGGGTCTGACCCCGGGAGGCAGGAGGGATGTGTGGCCCATGGCGTGCCCACCAGAGTGCTCCTCTGATATTTGGAGGCTCATTCTCATTCCACAAATGGGGAGCCCCACCCGATTTCCAGAGTTTCAAGGGATTCCCAGTGGGGAAAGGCTCATGCTTCTCACATTCATTCATTCGACAACCTGTTGAGCACCTGCTACAATGCCAGGCCCTGGGAATATGGTGGGAACACGCTGTGAGCAAGCCAGGCTCTGTCCCCCAGCTGCGAACCTGCATGCCCAGCCCCTCCCCCCCAGCTCCTTTCCTTGCTCTCGGATCTCTCTGTCTCTCTCCACCTCACACACACACACACACACACACACACACACACACGTACCCCTGGGCTTTCTTCCCTTCATCCATTTCAGAAATGGACATTCCCCCTTCCCCTCATTTCCCCAAATGTCACTCCCACAAAGCAAGACGGTAATAAGCACGAACGCTAATATTGACCGCGCACTTACCAGGCAGCAGGCGCCGCTATGGAGGTTGGTCCTCGCACCAGCTCACTGTTGAGGAAACTGAGGCTGAGCGAGGTGCAGTCACTTGTGGTGGTTCGACAGCTAGAGAGGGGTGGAGTCAGGATTTGAACCCACACACACTGGCACCAGGGGTTTCACCCTTTAGCTGCTACACCACATGCTCCACTGAAGATCTGGTGGGACGCTTGGGGAGTTACAAGACAGCATGAGAGTTGAGCAGATAGCTCTTCCTTTGACCACTAGGCATGGAGGTGCCGGGGCCCTGACTTCTCTCTGCTGGCTTGGCCTCCCCGCTGTCACCAACACCCAACCCCCGCCCCCCGCAACAACTTCCGTTCTCTCTGCTCCCTGGGCCCCCTCACACCCACAGCTCCCGCCCGCTGTGGAAATCCAAACTCCTTCCCATGGTTGATTTCACTGTCTCACCCCAAACCACCCACCCTCGTGTCTTGCTAAAACCCAAGGCACTTCCTCTCCCCAAGGAATTCTGTTGCCAGCTTTGCTTTTCCTTTAGTTATTTATGTTCATATTTATTTAATAGACTGAGAAGGGATGATGCACATATGGTAACATTTTTTAAACTATCAAAAAAAAAAAAAAGAAGAATGAAAAGTCAGTCTCCTTTCTACCCAAGTCCCCTGGTGACCAGGTTCTTGTGTGTTTTTTCAGACAGAATCTACCAGGCCCTGCATGTAGAAGTAGTTCCTCTTTCCCTCTCTGCCCAGCCTCTCTTCCACACTTCGCTTTTTCACCTGATGATCCTCTTGGTCCAAGAGCTAGAAAGTCTCACTGCTGGGCAGTTGTGCCACTCCCAGACTGCCCACCACTGGACAACTCAGCTAGACCTCATTTCCTTAGTCTCAATCTGTGAGGCTCTGATGGTTCAAGAGGATGGCTGAAGGGACCACAGCCAGGAGGTCCACGGTGAGGAGGGTGGTCTAGGTGGGAGATGGCGGACGCCTGCACGGTTGTTTTAGAGTATTAATAATAATGACATCAGCCACATCTATTCAGTGCTCTTTGGGTTCCAGGAACCCTGCAAAGCACATGACATGCATGATCCCCCTTCCTCTCACACCAGCCCTAGCTATTGATAGTCATTGCCCCATTTCACAGATGAGGAAACAAAGACTCAGGCAGCTGAAGCAACTGGCCCAAGGGCTCAGAACCCAGCAGCGGTAGAGCCAGGGCTCTTGGCCGGGTCTGCCGAACTCCAGAGCACGCGGGATTGGGTAGGTCATTCTCCGGTGGGTCCGAGGAGCTCTAGGTGGCGAAACACGTAGCGAGTCTGAGTATCCTGGGAGACGCTCCGTTGAGGGAGGGAATTGCTGGCAGGTGAGGTTGTGCATGCAGGCTTCCTGCGGGGATAGAGTGGGCCCAGGCTTTGAAGGACAGGACATTTGGGGGAGGCGGGGAAGGGAGTCCCCCAGCAGAACAGTTCCAGGGCCCTGCGTCCTCCATGGTCTGGGTCCTGGCTGTTCTGCCAACGTGGCCTGCACCTCCCACACTTGCCCTGGGTCTTTGCCCAGGCTGTTTTCTCTCTTCAAAAAAAAAAGGCTGGGTGAGGTTGCTTACACCTGTAATCTCAGCACTTTGGGAGATGGAGGCAGGAGGATTTCTTGAACCCAGGAGTTCAAGACCAGCTTGGGCAACCAAGCAAGACCCACTCTCAACAAAAATTGAAAAAATTATCTGGGCGTGGTGGTGCATGCCTATAGTCACAATTACTGGGGAGGCTGAGGCAGGAGGATTGCTTGAGCCCAGGAGTTTGAAGTTGAGCTATGATGATGCCACTGCACTCCAGTTTGGGCAACACAGTGAGACACTGTCTCAAAATAAATATACATAAATAAAAAGCAAAAACAGGCCGGGCTAGGTGGCTCACACCTGTAATTCTAGCACTCTGGGAGGCTGAGGCGGGCGGGTCTCTCAAGCTCAGGAGTTCTAGGCCAGCCTGAGCAGGAGCAAGACCCCGTCTCTACTAAAAATAGAAAGAAATTAATTGGCTAACTAAAAATACATAGAAAAATTAGCCAGGCATGGTGGCGCATGCTTGTAGTCCCAGCTACTCGGGAGGCTGAGACAGGAGGATCACTTGACCCAGGAGTTTGAGGTTGCTGTGTGCTAGGCTGATGCCACGGCACTCTAGCCCGGGCAACAGAGTGAGACTCTGTCTAAAAAAAAGAAAACTCCCCCAAACTCCAGCTTAATTTCTATTCCTTCCTTGAATACGCCTTGTACTGATACTTCCCCATGTCTGTGCCCTTCTGTGAGCAGATCTCTCAGCCTGCTGTGCCTCTCGCCATCAAGTCCAATCTCTTTGCTACCCTGTCTGATTTCTCTGGGAATCTCCAGCAGGACTTTCATTCACTCATTCATCCTAGAAATAATGATTTAGGGCCTCCTTTGAGCCAAGCACTGTTGTAGGTGCTGGGAATGTAACAGGGAACTTAGGTAATGTGAACACTGTAGCGATGAACTGAAGCTTATAATTCAGAAGGAAAGATAAGCAGTAAATAAGAAAACAAATGAATAAAAATATTCATTTGTGTGAGAGGAGCAAAGGTCAGGAAGAGTTCCGAGAAAGATTTTATTCAAATAAAAGCGCAGTCTTATCACTTCCTCGCCTAAGATTCTGTTAGCATGAATCCGAACCGCCTTTCCGGTTCTGTTAGCATGAATCCGAACTCTTCACTGAGGCTGACAAGGTCCTGCGTGGTCCGACTCCTGCTGCTGCCTCACTTGCCGCACTCTTGTTTCTTGCTCCTTGCACCCCAGCCACACTGGCCTTCCAGCCACCCCTCTCTACCCCTTCCTGCCTCAGGGCCTTTGCACTCGCTTCCAGTTTTCACTGACTTTCTCCCTTTGATTTTTCAAGCCTCAACTCCAGTGTCACCCCCTCTGAGAGAGCTTCTCTGGCCACCCTAACTGAAGTAGCCCACGGTCTGTCTGAAGCACTTGCCATCATCTCCCCTCTAAGCTGCACAAGGGCAGGGAATTTTCATCTGGCTCATTCACTGCTGTGTCCCTAGTTCCTGGCCATGCTTTGTATACAGTAGATGCTCAATAAGAATTAGCTGAACGAACAGCATCTGGTGCAGGGACGGGGAGGCCAGGGAACCTTGGGGTCAAGAGCTGGCCCAAGGTCCGTGGAGTGGACGCGCCTGAGGCCCGTTCCCACACCCCCCTGCCTTCAGTGTACCGGCTGCAGTTCCACCAGACCTTCGCGGAGATGAACCGTCGCTCCAACGAGTGGAAGACAGTGATGGGCTGTGTCTTCTTCTTCTTTGGATTCGCGGCTCTGCTGATTTGGTGGCAGCGGGTTTACAGTGAGTGGCAACACCTCACCTGGCTGCAGGCCCGGCCCAGGCCCTCATGGCCATAGCCACCAGCCACACTCTTAAGAGAGCCATGCTGGTACTCATCAGAAGAGAAAAGTCCCCAGAGTCGGGTGGGGTGACAGGCAAATCGTAGCTGCCTGTGTTTGAATGTAGGGAGTCTACCTCTCTGGGCCTCAGTTTTCTCATCTGTAAAATGGGAATAGTAAATGCCCACATCTCAGGGCTCTTGTGAAGATTTAATGAGAACGGGCTGCAGGTCAGTGCTTGGCATATAGCCACGAATGGTGTAGTTTCTATTGTCTGTGTATGAACTTTGTATTTTTCAGCATATTATTTCAGCTTCTGGAACAAAGAGTCCCCAACACATAAGAGTTTAAACAAGATAAAGGTTTATTACTTTCACACAAAAAACATCAGAGAAGCAATCAGACAAATATGGGTACTGCACAGTGCAGGCTCCTACTGTCCTGTCACTCTGCCATCCTCAACATGCACCTTCCATCCTGACACACAGGGGCCTGCTGCAGCGCCTGCCATCAAGCCTACACTCCAGCCAAGAAGAAGGGGCCAAGGGAAGACACCCTCTTCTTTAAGGCCCAGAAGTTGCTCATGCCATTTCTGCTCACATGCTATTGGCTAGAAACGATCACATGAGCCTGTCTAGCTGCAAGGGAAGCCGGGAAGTGTAGTCTTTAGTTGAATAGTCCAAATGCCCAGCAATACCTTTATTGCTTCAGAAGGGTGGTTCTCAAAACATCTCCCTGCACCAACAGCACTGCCTGGGAATGTGCTAGAAATTCAAATGTGCAGCTTCCTCCAGATCTGCTGAGTCAAACACTGGGGTGGAGCCCAGCGATTTTCATTTTAATGCCTTCTGGGTGATTCTGACGCCACTTGGGCTTGAGAACCACTACTCTAGAGGAAGGGGAGAGGATATCGAGAAAAAGCCGGCAGTCTCTGCGTTACTGACTTCCCTCTTGTGGCCTCACCTTGTTTCTTCTGTAGAAATCTGATGGGAATTCCTACCTTGAATGAAGGTGAAATGAGAGTCTTTGGGAAAAAGACTAGTCTAGCCCAGTGCTTGGCACAAAATGGGTGCTCATAAAGGTTGTTCTCTTCCTGACCACCCCCTGGGTAGAAAGGCGCAGGGGTGGAGGTCAGGCAGGCTGAGTCAGCTCCAGAGCCAGGTGGACTGGGCAGTAAATTGTGAGTGGTGTTGGGAGCTCCAGCTCCCAAGTCTTCCCTGACCCACACGTCAAGGCACCCAAAGTGCCTACGTGAGGGCTTCAGCCTTTGGGTTAAGTATTCCCCCTGCCAAGCTGAATTTCTAAGTGAACATCCTCTACCTACCTTCTACCCCCGACCCGCTTAGGAAACAAAAGAGTGGGAGCAAACTTAATAACTATAATTAGAGTGGGTAACATGTAACCTCATGGTGTTTAGTATCTGCCCAACATTATGCCAGTAGCCTTACAAATACTCCATCCCCACAACTCTTGTGGCTAGGACCTGCTTTTGACAGGTAGGGAAACTGAGGCTCAGAGAGGTGAAGTGACTTGTTCGAGGTCATGCAGCAAGGGAGGGGTGGAGCTGGGGTTTGGATCCAGGCGGTCTTCAAATCACTGGCCACAGAGGTAGGCAAGGAGACAGAGGCTCAGAGTGAGGAAGGACCTTGGCCCAGTTCCCACAGCGAGTCTGGGGCAAAGCTGAGATCAGAGCCTGGAAGTCCCTGCAGTGATGCTTTAGGGGAGCATCCGGTGGGGACCCAGACAGGGTGGAGGGAGCTCCTCGGTGCAGGGCACCCAGCCCTGTGGCTGGAGGTCCTGGCAGGGTCCTGAGCCACCCCTGCCCCACCCCATGCCCTCCCTGCAGTGTTCCCCGAGAAGCCCATCACCCTGACGGACGAGTGGAAGGCTAAGCAGCTCCAGCGCATCCTGGACATGAAGGCCAACCCCGTGCAAGGCCTGGCCTCCCGCTGGGACTACGAGAAGAAGCAGTGGAAGAAGTGACTCCACCGCCCCCGCTGTCTCCCTGCAGCGCCACCCTGGCTGGAGCCTTCCCCGCCCCTCAGCCCCAGTAAAGCTGGTCTGTTCTTTTCTGCCTTTAACCTGCACTTCAGACTTTACCTGGCACCTAAAATTAGGTATTGTAGTAGGTGGGGGCAAGAGCAAGCCACCGGCCAGGGCTCAGGGCCCAGCTAGCTGGGGAGGGCTCCCTGCAGAAGCCGGGGCTAGGGCTGAGTCTTAGGGGGACTAGGAAAGGCAGGAGGGAGAAGGGAAGGCATTCCAGGTGGAGGGAGTGGCTTGAGCAAAGGCAAGGGCATGCCTTTCTGGAGTCAATTAATAACTATTTATTGAGCATCTACTATGTACCAGGTACTAATCCATAATCCAGGCCCCAGGATGCACCATGGAGGAGACATTCCTCTGGGGAAGGAGCTAGAAAGATGAATAAATAAGTGTAAGAAGTCATATGTCACATGGTGATAAGTGGTACAAAGAATGATCAACACGAAGCAGGGTAAGGGGGTTGCTGGGGTGGTGGGTGAGGCCCCTAGAGGAGGCGGCACTTTGGAGAAGGGCTGAGCGGGATACGGGAACAAGCCTGGTGCCAGAGACAGAACAGCAAGTGCAAAGACCCTGAGGTGGGATTCTGGTTTGTGTGTTTGTGGCATTTCAGGGAGGCCACAGGGACTGAGCCAGAGAGCAGTAGGAGAGGAGGCCAGGGAGATGTGTGCTGGGGAACAGGATTGCTCCTGGGGTGCAGAGCAGGGGACATAGGGCCTCATGGGATTTTATTCTAAGTGTGATGGGAAGCTGCGTCAGTTCGGGTCCTCTGAGAAACAAATGCCAAGAAGGAATGAACCATGCAAAGAGGTTTGTTGGGGGTAAAGCCTGCGAGGGATAAAAGAGAGAGGGGGCGGGAGTGGGTGGGAGGGGGAAGGAAAGAGGGTCGGGTAGGAACAGCCTCGACTTCAGAGCATCTGGGTCAGTCTGAGTCCAACCAGGAGACAGAAACCACATGGGGACTTAAACAGGGGAAGTTCAACATAATAAATTATTAAGCTTACCTGGGAAGCTTTATAAAGATGTAAAGCGTCCCTCGAAAGGTATCCTGGAGTAGTACCTAAGGAATACACTTGGGGGGTGCCCTCCCCAAGCTGGAGTTCAGACCTCGCTGGAAAAAGTGGGGTTGCAGCCCACTGGACGGCGAGAAGTTGGGCAGGTTGCCAGGGCCAGAGCCTGTCCCTAGTCACTGAGTAGGCAGGAAACAACCCTCAGAGGACCACGGGAGCTGAGGCTGGCGAGTGGGTGGCGTGGGGCACGTTTGCAGATGTGAGGCCGAAAGCTTGAGGCATCTGCACCTGGAGGGTGGCGGGCAGGTGGGCCCCAGGCCAGGGAGCTGCAAGGTCACTCATAGGCTGTGCACACAGGGCTCGTGGCCGGGCAGATCACCACTAGATGTCCCCACACACTTGCATTGCTAACAGCGCCTGTGTACACGTGTGGGCGTGAGCATGCGTGCACATGCACACACACACACACACAGAGCCAGGGAACAGCCTCTCTTCCCCTAGAACTGTCCCCTCCAGCACCCTCTCCTGGCAAAGCTCAGCATCTCACTGGGAAGGTCACCCTGCTCAGAGTCCAGTTCATCTCCAGTCCGCAGAGCAGGCGCTGCGCCTTGGACTTGGAGCCGAGGGGCAATAAACCAGTAACTGACACGGCAACTTTGAGAAAGTCTTAGCTAGGCCAGCGGGGAGCCCCAGGGCATTAGGGAGTCCTGTGGTGGCCAAAATCAGCCCATCCCTAGGAACCCCACTGTGCTCGGTCCTTGGCTGGAAGCAGCCCAGGTGGCCTCAGCGCAAGTGCTGCAGCAGATCTGAAAGTGCATCAGCTGAAGGTGGTCACACAACTCCCCCCTCACAGCAGATTCTCTTGGAGAGAGATCCGGGCTGCACACCTCCATGGACACCCTGGATGTCAAGCGAAGGATTTAGCAAAGCAGTCAGGACAACGACATTCATTCAATCGACAAATATTTATTTATTGTGCATCCACTATGTACCAGGGTCTGGGGAAAAAGTGAAAGAGACTTCATTGCAGTCCCATAAATTCCAATCCTCATGAATCCAAAAGCCTGGAGTGAGAAAACAGACTTCAATCAGATGGTCACAGTAATCAACTGGAGCACCAATGAGTGCAAAGAAGGGGGCACACACATGGTTCTTGGACTGACCAACCAGGAATCTCCCTAGTCTGGAGAAGTCAGGGGGGGCTTCCCTGACGGTGTGTCTTCTGTCCTGAGACATAAAAGATGACCTGGAATAGACTAGGAGAAAGGGGTGGTGGAACAGCATCCTAAGTAGAGAGAAAAGCAGGTGCAAAAGCACTGTGGTAGTGAGGACCATGGCATGATAGAGGAAATCAAGGGAGCCAGTGGGGCCATCACCCAAAGGAGGAGGAAGAGATGGGCAGGTAGAGGTGGGGGAGTAGGGACCCACACGCGACCTGGGGCCTCTGCTGCCGCTACTGAAGAGAGTTTGGGGGACAGCAGAGGAAGATGCATCTGGGTGCATGCTGGCTTAGTGGCCAAGAAAAAACTTTCCCTTTGCCCCCTGAAGGTTCACTAAAAAAATCAACCCACAAAAGGCATATTAATGGAGAAAAGTCACACAAATTTATTTTACCATGCATACATGGGGGAATCATAGGAGAATGATTACCCAGTATCTCAATGGGGTACAGATGCCTATATGCCCTACTTTTTTGGGGAAGGAGACGCAGAAGTATGGATGATTTTAGGGTAGTAAATAATTTTTAGGGGGATTCAATGGCTTAAAGAACATACAATGGGCCTGCAGAGTGGACAATGGTTTGTGACAAAAGTCAGGCTGGGTTTGTTGACTGACTTCAGTCTTTCTTCTTGTGATATGAGTTCAGTTAATGAAATCTCAGGGACAGGAACACAGGGATGAGGGGGACACTCTTAAAGCCCAGGCGCAGGATCAGCACACACAAAACTGCACCAGAGTCTCCCAGCCAAGGGGGTCCAGTCACATCTGCAGCATTTGAGATCGAAATTCTGTGGCATGAAACAACCACTGTATTATGCCCAGAGATTCTGTGGCCCAGGAATTCCGAGGGGCACAGTGGGAACTGCTTGCCTCTGTGCTGAAATGTCTGGGCCCCAGCTGCAAACACTCAAAGGCTATGGCCAGAATCGTGTGAGGTGTTTCCACTCACACATCTAGTGGCTGATGCTGGCTGCCAGCTGGGACCTCTGCCAGAACACTGCTTTGTGGCCTCCCATGTGGGCTCTCTGGTGAGCTAGTTTGAGCTCCCTCGCAGCAGGGGGTTGGGTTCCAAGAGCAAGTGTCCCAAGAGAGCAAGGGGGAAGTGCATTGTCTTTTTATGATCCAGTCTCAGAAGACATGTAGCACCACTTCCGCCAAAACCTATTGGTCGAGACATTCCCGAAGGTACACCCAGGCTTAAGAGGGAGAGAACACAGACTCCACCACTCAATGGGAGGATATTAAATCACATTATAAGATGTGAGATGCATGTGACACGGGAAAATTTGTGGTCAGTTTTCGAAAACAGTCTGCCTCCCAGAGTCAAGGCCAACATCAATGGGCAGAGAAACATCCTCCAGTCAGACAGTGTGTGTGGCAAGCATGAGGAGGGGAGGCAGAATTGTGAGCAAATAATAAAACCTGTAATAATAATAATACAGATATGTAGAAATTACCAATGCAAAATCAAGATGTCAGAGGTTTTCTTTTTAACCACAATTAAAAATTAAAAACAAAATCAAATAAAATTAACAGAAACAAAAACTAACCACGTTAAATTGTTGCTCAGGTCAGTCTCGAACTCCTGACCTCAAGTGGTCCTCCTGCCCCAGCCTCTCAAAGTGCTAGGATTACAAGCACTTGAACCATGTTGTACTGTGCCTGGCCTATAGTTTTCAGTTTTTATGTTTCCATTTGTTCCTCTTTATAACTTCTTATTTTTGTGCTGAGGTTTTCTACTTCTTTACTGAGGCTTTCTATCTATGTTTTCATTTGTTTCAAGTGTGTTTGTAATTGTCATTGAAAAATTTTCCTCGTGGCTGTTTTAAGCTCTTTTTCAAATAATTCTAATTTTTATATATAATATTTAGTTGGCTAATTTCTTTCTATTTTTAGTAGAGATGGGGTCTTGCTCTTGCTGAGGCTGGTCTCGAACTCCTGAGCTCAAGCGATCCTCCTGCCTTGGCCTCCCAGAGTGCTAGGATTACAGGCATGAGCCACCATGCCCAGCCTTTCAAATAATTCCAAAATCTCTGTCCCTTCATATTACATTATGAGATTCTGGATTTTATTTATCTTTTGTTTCAATTAGCTTTTTAAAAGCTGATTATAGCACCCTGTATTCTCAGGTGGTTGCTCAACCAAGTACTAACCAGGCCTGCCTCTGCTGCCACTTAGCTTCTTTTTTTTTTTTTGTCTCACTCTGTTGTCCGGGCTAGAGTGCCGTGGTGTCAGCCTAGCTCACAGCAACCTCAAACTCCTGGGCTCAAGCGATCCTTCTGCCTCAGCCTCCCTAGTAGCTGGGACTACAGGCATGCGCCACCATGCCCAGCTAATTTTTTCTGTATATTTTTAGTTGGCCAAATACTTTCTTTCTAGTTTTAGTAGAGATGGGGTCTCGCTCTTGCTCAGACTGGTCTCGAACTCCTGACCTTGAGCGATCTGCCTCCTCGGTCTCCCAGAGTGCTAGGATTACAGGCGTGAGCCGCTGCATAGCTTCTGAGATCTGACAAGACCAGGTGCGTTCAGGGTGGTGTGGCTGGAGACAATCTCTTTTTGTTTTCTTTCTCTTTTTTCTTTTGGAACACTCTGGCTAGTGATGGGGGACACTGTGTCATCACCAGCAGGTGGAAATAGTGTTCAGGTTCCCCACTCAGTCTCCATGGATGGCCAAGATGGGGAGCTCCTCATTGCTGCTGCTGAGAGTGGGAGTGTCAGCTCCCATGTGGTCCCCATGGTGGGCGTAGTGATGGTGAAGGGCCTGACTCCCCTAGGCCTTTTCTGATACCATCCCAGCGGGGAGAGGCAGG